CATGTTTTTTGTCTCTCTCTGTTTTCTTTCTTCTAACTTGTCACTTTTGGTGTTTGTTTTAGTGATGGTTTTGATTATGTTGCAGGAAGAAGAAGGAACTGCCTCAACAGACTAATCCACCTTCGATTCCTGTTGCTGAGCTCTTCCCTTCAGGAGAGTTTCCTGAAGGTGAAATCCAACAATATAAAGATGAGTAAGTTCGTATACCGTCGTGGACAGCTTTAAGGGATCTCTTTTATAGTATGTTGTTATAGTTTGCAATAGGCGTAGATTTCGTTTATGGCCTTTTTATCAGACTGTTTGTGCCGACATTTGAAGATTTTGATCTTGTTATTTGTAATGTAGTAATCTGTGGAGAACAACATCTGAAGAGAAGAGAGAGTTGGAGCGTTTGGAAAAGCCAATATATAACTCTGTTCGTCAGGCTGCAGAAGTTCATCGTCAGGTTGACATTTTATCCGATTAAAATTCATAGGTTATAGTTATTCTGGCCTCTTCTTACATTTGCCTGGGTTTTTTTTTTTGCTATTTTTTCAGGTTCGGAAATATGTGAGAAGCATAGTGAAGCCTGGAATGTTAATGACTGATATATGTGAGACCCTGGAAGATACTGTTCGTAAGCTGATATCGGAGAATGGTCTTCAAGCTGGTATTGCATTCCCTACGGGATGTTCTTTGAATTGGTTGGTTATAACATGTGCCTTTTACTTTGATTTATATTTTTTGTACTTCTTTAAATCAATCATCTCTCTAATGACTTTTTAAAATTTCAGGGTCGCTGCACATTGGACACCAAACTCCGGAGATAAGACTGTACTTCAGTATGACGATGTTATGAAGTTGGATTTTGGAACACATATTGATGGTAGGACAGCAAATCAAATCTTCTCCTCTGTTTTTTGTTTTTCCTCGGATACAAATGTCAGATAAAAATTAACATCTCTTTTTTTGTTTGCAGGGCATATTATTGACTGTGCATTTACAGTTGCGTTCAATCCTATGTTTGATCCTCTCTTAGCAGCCTCTCGTGAAGCTACGTATACCGGTATTAAGGTGCTGATTGTTCCTTTTGCTAATATCCACTGCTTTATGAATGTAACTACTAGTAGGATAAAGCAATTTTGTAGTGCTTTGTTCTACTCAGTCTGTTCATCTTTTTTATCTTTCTCTTCTCTACAGTGGAAATCCACTGAGTTTGATCTTCTAGGGTCAAACAAGCTCAGTGTGAAAGTGATTTCATTTATGCTTTAAACAGTTAGGAACCATATAGTTATATCCTTGGTGGATTTTTTTGCTGGTTCAGGAAGCTGGGATCGATGTCCGTCTTGGTGATATCGGTGCTGCAATTCAGGAGGTCATGGAGTCTTATGAGGTTGAAATCAATGGAAAGGTTTTCCAAGGTACTGATATACAATGTCACATCTATTGACCACTCCTACATCAATGGCAGTTTTGATGTTGATGTAATAAACATTAACCTGTTATGTCTTTTTCGCAGTTAAAAGTATCCGTAACTTGAATGGGCATAGCATTGGACCTTATCAGATACATGCTGGGAAATCTGTTCCTATCGTTAAAGGAGGCGATCAGACAAAGATGGAAGAGGGCGAATTTTATGCCATTGAAACATTTGGATCAACCGGTAAAGAAACTCTTAACATCAACTATTGAAAGAAAAGGCACTGCATCTTTGGGATTCGCCAATGATTGATCATATGTTTGTGTTGTATTACAGGGAAAGGATATGTGAGAGAAGACTTAGAATGTAGCCATTACATGAAGAACTTTGACGTTGGCCATAAACCCTTGAGATTGCCTAGAGCAAAGCAACTTCTTGCCACCATAAACAAGAATTTCTCCACTCTCGCCTTCTGCAGACGCTATTTGGACCGCATTGGTGAAACCAAATACTTAATGGCTCTAAAGAATCTGTGCGACGCTGGCATTGTTCAGGTAATTTCTCACACCACAGTCTTAAGATGATCGGGGATCGATCCTGAGGTCTAAAAGCTTAACATTTTTTTTTCTGGTTGTTTTCAGCCGTACCCTCCTCTGTGCGACATCAAGGGAAGCTATGTTTCACAGTTTGAGCACACCATTTTACTGCGACCAACGTGCAAAGAAGTTGTTTCCAAGGGAGACGATTACTGATTTCAGATTCTCTGTTTTTTGCTCTGTTTGCTTTCATCTCATATACTGTTCTTGAGAGATTGTACACTTCTTGTTTCTTTTGTGGTCGTTAACACAGATTTGAATCCTTTTATAGAGCTTCAGTGTCTGTTAAAACTATAAGTTTGTCCTGAACATGAATTTGCGCATCACTCTTACTAGTAATCTCCATTGGAGAAGATAATCAAAGCTTCTTGCTTTTGGCGAAAAATGTAACCTTTACTTGACTAATTTTCACAAAAGTCAAATCATAGAGCCAGAAACAAACAAATCCACTAAGGAGGAATCTTATTATATAAAGTTTGATCTTATTATCAGCTAATCAATTAGATTTTCACATATATTAAAAAAAAATTCAATTAAACTTTGTCACATATATCATACAAATCTTACTTCTTTTTAAACTTATATATTTGTATTTAGCAAGTAGATTATAAAAATCAATATATATCAAGATTTTTTAGTTGATTAACTAATAATTCATTAAAATAATTATTTGATAAGTATG